ATATCCTCACTAAAGCTGTGTCAAGAAAGAAGCTAGAGGCGGATCTATCCAAGTTGGGAATGATAAACATTTACTCCCAACTTGAGGGGGAGTGTAGAGAACACTGATGTGGGCCCCACAGCTTTGGTCCCACTCTGTCCGTGGGCCCCACAGCTGTGGTCCCACTCTGTCCGTGAGCCCCACAGCTGTGGTCTCACTCTGTCCGTAGGGCAGAATGTTCCTAGTCATCCTAGGGTTAGCTACTGTTATTCTAGTTGTTATTTATTTTTCAATTTTATATTATTGTGTGTTATGTAAATACCAAGGGCAGATGTGTCCTTTCATGTAACTAGCATAACCTATAAATATTAAATAGAAGTGGCGGCGGCAGWATMATTRAGATTCTGTCATTCCTTTCAAAGTTTGTGTTCTACTGCTCTCTCTCTACTCTTTCTCCTCTTTCCTCTTCACTTTCTCTTCTTTTTGAACCTGAAATTTCTTAGTGTTCAAGACTGATAGCAGTCTTGAACAACTACAATCACTAAAAGTATTTTAAATAAGCAACCTCATCCTTGTCATAGAAGGGTTTTATTGGTTTTCATTCTCTTCTCTTTTCTTTTTCTTTCTGTTTTAATCTATGTTTTCATGGTTTTATTTTGTTTTCTTTTGTGTAATTTGTGTAGGTACATAGGTCCCACTCTGAGTTTTTTCACAAGTTGGTCTGAGTTGGCTTAGGTAGCCTGACTGCTATTAATATGATTGTCCTTGCATGGGACCTGCATTAAGCAACCTATCTGGGATGCGAAACTTGTGATCTGGGGGTTGCGGATGACCTATCACCTATCCAGGTTTTGCATCCCTCCCTCTTTCCCTTGGACTTCCGGACATCTTCCACAAATTTCATGTTTATTTATTTTATTTATTTTTTAATTCTTTTGGTGAATAGTCCAGTGTGTGTAGTCTCTAGCAATGGCAGGAGTTAGCTCCTAGCATCTATTGAAACTTGGGTACAACCATACCAGACTCAGAACTATGAAGCATGCTTGGTACTGTGATGGGTAACCTCTTCGGAAGTCTTCACTATTCATGTTGTATCCCTTTTTTGAGAGAAGCCATTGCTTGGTGTAAGGGTAAAATACTGGGCTGATAAGTCTGAGATGTAAGCTTGATTTTGAGTCTGGCCACTTTGTGCAAAACATTGCCAAGTATTAGGTCCATATCCAGTTTGCCTCTCCCCCAAAACCACAGATAGCCGGCAACACATTATGTTTTCTCTGGCTTTTCCAGGTTCCATACCTTGAGCCCCATTTGGGAGGGCTTCTGCAGTGATTGAGCTGAGTTGACTGAGCTGCCTATGATAGCTTCACTGGAACGTCGATGTTTTGGCTCATGTAAGCCTTTTTTCAACTTTCTGGATTTTTACCAAACACAGCGTGACAACTTTCTGGGTTTCTTGGCTCATGCAACACCAGAAGCCACTGTGTGAAAGCCCTCCCAAATGGGCACTAGTTTTTTTTAAAGCCTATTGATTTGCTTTCCACATTTAAAGCCCTCCCAAATAAGCACTATGTTAGATCAAGTAATCAGAATCGTTGAGACCATACTGCCTTGATTTCTGAATGCCTCATAAGGTGAACATTGGCATGCTTATCATGGATGGATGGTTTTAGCTTACCTTCCAGCATGGAGTTAACTGTTTGATGGTACATCTGTTTGGCCGATGTAAGTGGAATTCATATTCCAAAGTATTTAATCAGGGCCTTGGTGTATGAGTAGTTTTGACCTGGATAGACCATTTCCAGGTTGAAAGACAGAGCTTCGAGTGAAGAACAGAGAGGCTCTTGCTTGTTCTTCTCATTGAGCTCCGAACATTAGAATTTGCCAATTTTTTGGAGAGAGATGGATGCTTTGGTTCCATACCCTCTTCAACCATGGCTTGGCATAAATTACCTAGGTATTACCAATAAACCTGTTGTAGACCTTGTAGGACTGCACTTAATGCACATCCAGAAGGATCATGGAATGGATAGTCTTACTTGCCTAGAAGATTTATTGCACTGAAGATAATCCCAGTTAGACTTAGTTTGGAAGGAGTACAAATACAAATATGTACAGTGCAAATACATACATAATAATACTAGAAGCAAGGTTTTGCACTCTACATATTTTTTTTCGTACTCCTTCCAAACTAAGCCTTACTGGTTAGTTTTATCATATTTGGTTGATAATTGGGACAAAAGAAGTGTGGGTTCAAGCCATACATGTGCCAGTAGTTCTTCATATTCTTGTCAATTAGAAAGCATCCAGGAAAAGGAACAAAGAATGTATTTCCTTCAACTGTTTTCAGAGGATAGAGCATAGTTCCATGGTTGTGTTATTGACTTATTGTTACTATCCCAGACATGGCTATTAAATAAATTTTCATTTATACATGGCTATTAAATAATTTTTCATTTATAAATCTAATCATTCCGTTTGGGATCTTTGGCCATAGGTTTAAACATGTCAACTGTGAGCCTACCCTCAACTTGTATGTTCAAAAGTGTAGCGCAGAGAAGATATGGTGGTGCCTTAATCAAGAGTCCAACTTCTTCGGCTTCTGTGAAGAGCGTTTCTAAGCTATTTGGCTTGAAGGCTTCCTCTTGCTTCAGAGTATCTGCCATGGCAGTGTACACGGTGAAGCTGATTGGACCAAATGGGGAAGAGCAGGAGATAGATGCTCCTGACGATGCTTATATCCTAGATTCAGCTGAGAGTGCAGGAGTGGAGCTGCCCTACTCATGCAGGGCAGGCGCATGCTCAACCTGTGCTGGGCAGATGGTGTCAGGTTCAGTTGACCAGTCGGATGGATCCTTCCTTGACGGGAACCAGATGGAGAAGGGGTACTTGCTGACATGCATCTCATATCCAACATCAGACTGTGTGATTCACACACATAAGGAAAGTGATCTCTATTGAGCAATGCTCAGGTCATGTCTTTGATTGAGATGAAACTAAGAACTAATTTTGGTCCACGTCACTTCTTAGAGGGAAAACAGAGCGTCAGATCAGACATTCCATATTGGCCTTAGTGTTCATTGTCTAGTTTCTTAAATTTTGCTTGCCTTTTGCTTGGATATCATGTTTCTGATTTTTGATTTCAAATTCCCAGCAAAAATGATATTAGTTGCTGCCTAAGCTTGGCCTATGCAAGTGGAATCCTGTTGTCAACTATACGAGCCCGCCTAAACCAACAGGCACGGGACTACTGTAAAATGACTTGAACCAAGACACCAGCCTAATGATTTGAACTAAGCTTCAGGCTCCAAACCTAATATTTCAAGTTGGTTTAAACTGAAAGGGTCGATGACTAGATGTGGCTAATCCATTAGCACGCTCCAATCTCTCAATTCCCGTGCATAGCTGATGACTGATGTGGGGTGTTATTGGTTAAACACAACCATCAAGTTCAGATCGTTTCCGGATTCCAGTTATGTGCCACTTGTGCATGCAGGTCTGGCCTCTATTAACTAATAGGACTGTTACGATGGGTATTGGTTTTCAGGGTTACTGATACTATACAAATCTTAATAATGAGTTAGGTGATTTCAATTGTTTTAAGGGTATATATACTTTGAAGTTTGAACATTGCTGTGATTAATGTAGGTGGCTCGTTCCAAGAAGGATCAAGGAGGATGGTTGTCTCCTTCCGAGCACTTGGCGAAATGTTTATTTTTTTCGACTAAAAAGAAAGACTTGGATTCGTAAGTGAACGCATTAATCAAAGCAGAAGACGCGTTTCTCACCAGCCACCAAAGCGGAAAATGGAAAGAAATGTTTTAAATCCTTCCGAGAATATTAACTTTGTAAGTGATAACGATTAATATAAATACTCCAGACATCAACATCTTTGTTGCAACTTTCTGTAATTACGCCAAGACTTCAACGCATCTCTCTCTTTCAATCACCACGATTCATGGCTGGGAATTGGATCTATTATTGGGGCAACGGCTCCAACCCGTCCGGAAGAATACAACAGGTGCGTGTTAACTTCTGTAGAAGATTTACCACATTGTTACTATCTCCGGATTTAGATCTGTACTGGCAACATGTTGTACGAAACTCCGATCTAAATGAAAACACAGAGAAAAAATACAGAGAAGAAGTTGCAGCTCTGGAGGGCCAAGCCAGAAAAATATATCATACTGACGACAATTTCAATGTAGTCCCTACGGGAGACCAGTTCGTGGATATAATGGTGAAGCAAGGCTGCTTCATACTGCAAGTGGCCTTGTGCTCCTTGGGTGGTTTAGCACCGCTGGGTTACCCAGAGGACGGAAATCTGGGCAAAGATTGGGACAAGGAAATGATCGATAACTGGGTTTCGTCCATGTTTTCCATCAGTAAGCAATTTCCCCTCTTCATCCTCCAGAAACTGATGGAGCAAAGCTTCTTCCAAACTGTGCTGAGTAGGGGAAAATGGAAGGGACCCCATGACTTGGCGAGGATGGTGCTGTATGACAGTCTGGTGAAGCCCACGCTTGATTCACATGGAAGAAGAGCAGCTACATCATTTCTTGGCTTAATCCACTGCAAGAAGAGCGGTTTGGCAAAAGAACAGCCAACCCTTCTCCATGCTCTTTGGCTTACTCTGACTGGGCCTGACTTAAGTGGTGGTGTCGTCAAAGAAGGCGACAACGTATGGTCCACCGTCCGTAGCGCGACGGAGCTGCGGGAAGCTGGAATTGGCTTCAGAAACAACAAGGAGATGGGGATTAGAGGGATAAAATTCAAAACAAAATGGTTGAAATTTGACGCTTATCTCTGCCTCCCGTTCATCTCCATTGGACCCAATACAGAGACGCTGCTTAAGAGCTTGATTGATTTTGAAGGGGAGCTGTATCAGGACGGAAGCGGTGGTGAGGTTTGTGCATATCTGAAGTTCATGAGTGAGCTGGTTCGTAGTCATGAAGATGCCAAGGTCCTTGCAGTACATGGGATCATTGATGCCGATACTGAAAGCGAGGAAAAAATGCACCATACCTTGGCGAGTTTACACCTGCCGGAGGTAGTAAACAACCAGAATCTCTGTGTCGTAAGGGATGAGATTCGTGGTTATGTGAAGCCCAGCAAGTGGGACAAGATTGTGAATCTCATTGTCATCACTCTGCTTCTCACATTGGTGCAGACCATCTATACTGTTGTTGGCTATCATCACCCAAAAAACTAATCAAAATTGGTTTGGAGCAGAAGCTATAGAAATGTAGCTTTTACTTGCTTCAATTATTTTTTATTGTTGTTGTTGTTTGGTGCGGCTCTGGTTGCTTGTAATGTAATTTCATTTTATAAGAGTGCAAATGAAATTATGCAAATTTTGATTCACTTTTGTTTTGGGTTTTCTTCTACTTTAGCTCAGTTTGGCAAGAGGACAATGCAAATACAATACAGAAGCCAAGAAGGTGTTTGACACTTTGTTTTACTTCATCTGCAACACAAACCAATAAATTAAAATGAGGCAAAAAACAGAAATAAGCAATTGCCTAATAGGATCTATCGGTTATTTGACAATTACTTAAACCTCCCCTATATTGACAAAACCGCTTCCGTTAATCTCCCAACAGAAAATATAACATAATACTATAACTTTTAAAATTCTAATTTTACCCACGACGACTACCATTCGGGATCCACTACACACAGGTTGTTCCCACAGAACAGCGCATAGGTAGCAGATCCGAGCCCCGACAACGACAGATTTTGCTCTGAATAGAGCACTTTGGATTCAGTGCGTTTCTTTGAGTCCACTAAAATTTTGACGCGTCTTTCGGTGCTCATCACTGGCGACCGGCTGAAGTTTTTATACGGTTATGATTGATAAAATTATTTTTAAAAAAGAATTGATTAATATAAAATTTTTGTAAAGAAATCTAACTAAATATTGACAGAAAGTTTAAAACCCTCATGCTCTCATACTCGAACCCTTTCTCCTCCAACCATTAACGGGAAGACAAAACTTTCCTCACGGTTGTGGCTTTGGATTTGCAAGACAAATCCTTACATTCTCAATCCAAACGCAATTCAAGCCTTCTCCAGCCATTAATTGGAAAACAAATCTGGTTTTGACTTTAGATTTGCAAAACATGAGACATCTTCTTTTTCCTCCATACTAAGCTTTTGAAAGTAAAAATCAATAGTTCCTAAATATCTTTTCAAGAAAAATATATTCAATCAGTCACGTTGTTACGCACAGGATTTTCTTTCATGATACACTCTCGAAAATTTCTATTTTCAAAGGATTCTTGGGTTTCGGATTTTAATACGAAAAAGTGGTATTAGGGATTTTCGGACAGAAATCAGTGAGTTCATTAACTTGGTCGGTGTTGAGAACTTGCCAAATGAGTTAGAGTTAGGATCTTCAGTCTTACAAAGGATTCTTGGACACAAATCAGCGGGATCATTAGCCTTCTTGTTCTTAGTTTCTACCTTTTGTATTTTGGGGTTTCATTCACCTTTGAACACTTTGATGTTTGAAACTTTCCGTTAATACCATTGCTGTCGTCACTAAAATCTACAGTTGTCGTTTTGTTGCAGTTTGAAACATCAGTGATAAGGCTTGTTGTTATTACTGGTTGGGGGGAGAAGGTTTGAGTTACAGGGCTTTGCAGAGACTGTTCTGTAAGTCTTTTTCGCAAGTTGCAAAATGTATACTTTTTTTTTATATCTTTTATCAATTTTTATTTAAGCTCCAACCGGTTGTAAGTAATGGCCAGTTAAGCATGAAATGATGTGTCAAAATTTTAGTGGCTCGAAGAGCCAAATGCACTAAATCCGAACTGATGCCCTGATGCTTCCGTTGCACCTTAGGCTCAGTTTGGAAGGAGTACGGATACAAATATGTACCGTGCAAATATATAAAAAATATAAGCTTTTGTAGTCTACATATTTGTATTTATACTCTTTATGCTCAATTTGGAAGGAGTATAAATACAAATTTGTAGAATACGACAAAATCTTGTATTTTGTATATATTTGCACAGTACATATTTGTATTTGTATTCCTACCAAACTGAGCCTACTTTACAAATTTGTATTTATACTCCTTCCAAATGGAATTTTAGGCTCAGTTTAGAAAGAGTACAAATGCAAATACATACAAAATAATGTAAGCTTTTGCACTCTACATAATTATATTTGTATTTGTACTCCTTCCAAACTAAGCCTTAAAATTTGAAAATATCTCTATCTTCTAGTTTTCTTTCTTAGAGAACTTGGCTTTGTGAAGGGTTTGAATAATTTCTTTGAATTCAGTCATTTTTACATAAAATGTCTCCATGCAACAGAAATCTGGAACCATATAACGATGATTCTCTTAAGGGTGTTTCGACCAAAATTCATTCTCTTACTACGATAACATCCAGAACATGGAACAAGGACAAGAAAGCTGCACTAAGTTTCATCGTCACACAGGAAATCAAGGGTATCCGTTTAGTCATCCCCCATGTGTATGGCATTGGCATCTTCCTGCCATAAACAGAGGGGAGCTTCGTACATGTGCCTAAACCTAAATCCCATGACTCATGAAGTCACGATCCTTCCTACCCCACAACCACCAAGAAAATTGAGTGGAGGCTACAACCATTTTACAGGTGGAAATATTTTTGCTCCTATTTAATTGGAGGGCATGCATCCAATCAAATACATTTTACCCCTTAATTTTGAGTCCAGATCTGTTGCTCCCATGCTGTGTATAACCTGTTGTGTCAACAAATTATAAGTGAACACGCCATGGATGTGGATCTCATGTATATGGTACATTAAGTCATTGCATGGTTGGTTACATAACCCATTACACGTAGCATGGCGAGCAACAATTCTTACATAGGCTGTGTTTGGTTTGAAAGAAAAGGTAGAAAAGGAATTCTTCCTTTCTTTCAAGCCAAATTATAAGGGTTTAGTCTTTAGTGTATAGGTTTTAGGATTTAGGGTTTAAGGTTTAGATATAAAAATTAGCCAAGTGAATCCTGTTACAGGGGTGATAGGGTGTAAAACAAAACACTCCAATTACAAAGGATGTTTTTTTTTTTTTTGTTCTTTGAGAAAGAATGTAAATAACTCTAGCGTGTTTGAAGCAAACAAATCAGGTGGAGCCATCTAATGAACAAATGAGATACTATACATAAGGCAGAGGAATAGACAAGATCTAATAGAGATAACAATTGAGCAACAAAATTGGAGGCCCCTAAAGAGATTTAAAGATTTAAGAGGAGACCAAATCAGCCCCCCACAACGTCCCACAGTACATTCCCGCTGTGTATTAGAAACATCTCCCGATGATAATCTCAGAAATGATGATGCCATCATCAAGAGATGTTGTGGGGGGCTGATTTAAACTCACTTAAGAGAGATTGAGTGGTTGTGGGTTATATGTACGTGGAACAAAACGATTGATCCTGCAGCCCTTAAAATAGTTCTCAAGATCGGCTAATTGATTGATTCTGCATGAAAGGAGAGATAGAACTTATGTGGAGAATTAGGGTGCTGATGAAAAATTGCTAATAGGAAGCCAGACTCAGCAATTACATACGCATAGGGAGGGATGCAAGACAGTAGATTGGTTAACAAAGCAAGGTCAAGGAGGAGATATGGAGTAGTTAGGATTGTATAATTCTTTTATGTCTTTCAAAGTACCAGCAGTTTAACAGCGCAGATATTACGATGAGAGCCTCAAATCGTAAATACATGAAGATTACACCTTGTGATGAGTATTGTGAGGGTGTGGAATTAAACCATTAAAACATTTTATAGTAAACACTACTACAATTGTGAAACTATTGTGGAATCTCCTGATGAGTGAAGAACACTTTAGGATGGAAAAAATGAATCATTTACACCTGCGATGAGCTAAATTCATTGCCCACAATCAGCCACAATTTCGATCAATGAAGAACATCCTTCTACCTACTGCGATGAACCACAACTACTCGCGTTGTTGCATTCCAATTAAGCCACCTAGACACGTTAATGGCTTAAAGAAAACCCAATCCCCAACATGTGACCACGAGAAAGTCTGTTAAGGGTCGTATCCAGGATGTACCAAATAAGAATCCTAAAGGAATAGCAGAGGATCTCATTGGATACATGGCAAGACCCTGGTGGAATTTATTCAATAAAGATCAAAGAATCATGATCTCCTTTCCTAATGAGAAAAGCCCTTATTTTGGCGTTTCTCTTTATGGTTTTGGGATCTCTTCTATAAAAAAGGAGAGAGTCAAGAGCCCAGACACCAGAGATCAACCCCAAGAATCCTTCCTGCTTCCTGATTCCCTAAGTTCCCATGCCTCTTACAACTACCCTTTTATCTCTACCCACCCAGACTCCTAGTCATCCTCTATCCTTCAAGGAAACCACTCTTCGTTGCCTTCCCATCCTACTTACACTTTCGTCTTAGCAAAGAGAAAAATTTATTAGGGTTAACTGGTTGCTAAAATTAGTTTGGTCCTTAAAAATATTAGTGGTCAAAGTGAACAACCCCTGACGGAAGGCCAGTATCTAACAATAAAAAGTCTCTAACGGAGGGGATATGTGGGGAGACATCAAAAGTTAGGGTATGTTCAAGAGAATTGGAGAAAAGAGAGGGATGTAATGACCCTTGAGAAAATGTTAGAAAGTGAAAGGGAGTTCATATAATTATTAGAAAAAATGGACTTGTATGTTATAGTAATAATGGGTGTTAGGGAATGTGCAATTCAGGCTGAGCTGAAAGTTTTTTTTTTTTTTCCTTTTTCTAAGATAGCCACAATTTCAGGAATATTTTCATCATACTAGATTCTTTTCTATAACTAGCAGTTGGATGGATAATCCCCTCCGTTTTATGGATACTCTGTCACAGTCACGGCTGACGATGGAAGTGAATGGTAACGGCAAACTATGGAACAAGGATGCTGAAGCTGATGTTTCCATATATTTTGATGGGTCATTTTGATCAGCAGGTCATACATCTAAGGGTGTCAGTGGACCGATTTTGGATTGGACCCGTCCAGTCCAATCCAATCTAATAAAAATTTTGGACCAAATTGATCTAATCCAACACATCTTGTTCGTCTGAAGTTGTTGGAGTGAAGTTTGCTGTGTATTGTGTTGACAGATTCTAGGACAGGAAGATTTAGGATGGTTGGCAATATGGAGGTATCGAGTTCTCACTGATGGTGCACATTCAAGGTTTTAGGTTTGAATTCTGTAATAGATAGTTTATTGTCATGGCCCATTGTTTGGCATTGATGGCTAGAGAGATGTTTATTTCTATTAAGGATATAGTGAGGAGTTCGGATCTGCTATTCACAGGACGTGCCTCAAATCGACCTCACAGCACGTTCCAGCCGTGCATTGAGAACGTCTCTCCATGAATAAAAATTTATAATTATTGAGATGTTCCAGATACATGGCTGAAACGTATTGTATTAAGGTTGGTATGAGACGCACTCTATGAGGATCAGATCCAAACTCTATAGTGAGTATGGTTTTTAAAACCGAACCGGTCCGGGGTCCAGTTACCAAGTCAAACAGTCCAATTATTCAACTAAACGGTTGGCCTGTTCTGACAAAAAAATAAAAAACTGCTCGGGTCAGCGGTTTGCTGATCAAAATCAACGGTTTTTGAAGAAATTCCAGTTTTGGAAAAAATCGAAACCGATCACCTAATTGATTCCCAAATTTTTCCAGTTCAACCATTCAGTTCAATCCGGTTTTAAAAACATACTAGTGAGGATTTCAGCGGAGAAAGAGAGAGAATCAGAGGTAGACAAAAGAAGATGATACAACTCTGCTTATTTAATTTTTTTATAAATTAGATGAAAAGGGAAAATAAATAGAGCAAGGTGGACATCCAATAAATGAGTTTCATCCCTTGGTCATAGTAAGCATTTAGGGTCTGTTTGGTTTGAAGTCGGAATTAGAAATGAAATCAAAATCCCATGGAATAGGAATGGTCTATTCCCATGGTCTATTTGGTTCAGGTCAGAATCAGCATTGGAATAAGTTGGAATGAGATTTCATTCCTAAAGGAGGGGGAAATGATTATCCCTCAAATGGAGAAATGTCATTCCAATAAACAGGCCCTTAGATTGTGTGGCGTGTTAAGAATGGAGGATAAAAAAGAAGTTAGTTTTGTATTCTGTACCTATACCCTTCAAGTATAGGTAATTTGAATGGACCTCACATAGGTAATTTGAATGGAAGCTAAATTGAATTGTGACTTGCTCCTCACATAACGCACCTCGTATCAATCTCACAGTATCATACCACCGTGTGTTGGGAACATCTACCATGAATAACAATACAAGGCACAGAATATGTTTCTGATGTGTGGTTGGAATGCATGGTGAGAAGCGCTCAGTGAAGAGCAAATCTGACTAGAACGCGTTCTGAGGTGGAGTGGATGGTAAAAGGCCTAGGAAATGCCAATGGGTCAGGTTCGGCATGGGTTTGCCCCAACCCTAACCGACCCTCCAACACCCCAACCCAAACCCGATCTATTCCCGCTGAAAAATACATTATTTTTTAACCCGACCCAACCTTATAAGGTTTAATCCAATTCTGACCATACTCAACCTGTAGCGTCTCAAATGTTTTTTTTTAAGATCTAAAATACGTTAATTTAAGAGAATGTTTTATAAATTCTAAGGCATTCCTTTTTTTTTCATTTAAAAAAAAAGAAAATCAAAACCAATATATAAATAAATCATAAACTTTTAGTCAAAAAATTATAAGAATGTAGATTATCATGACCTGACGGATAGGCTAGTTAAAACTCAAACCTGAATCCGGTAAAAAAAATCAAAACCTTAACCCGATCCTCAATCTGGATTTCCATTTAACCCATTAACATCCCTGCCATAACTCTTTCGCTGACGTGACATGATCGATGACAGGGTGGGGGAATTGGTCAGAACTCAGAAATGGGGACGGGGCGGGGACCGGAGAGTATTATATTTAAGTGGGGTAAAATACAGAAACCTTCCCTAAGTTTATGACAATCATAAAAACTTTCCTTATAGTTTAACTTTAGCAAAAACTTCCTTTCTATTTTCAAAAACCTTCATTCCATCAACGAGCAAGACGAAAAATGTTAAACTGATGATATTTTTTTCAAAATACCTATACCCCTCTGGCTACGACGCATGGCACAACCATGAGTTTTCTCTCTACGGCGGCAATCCCTTCGTTTCTAATTCCAGTTGGCTCAATCATTTCTCCAATGAGATCCCGGCATCACTTGGGAGATTGCCGGTGACGGTGAGCTTCGGTCTGAGGCATAATAACCTCAGCGAAAAAATCCCTCAAATTGGAACGCAGGCAGCTGGGATGAGCCTCCTAAATAAACAAATCGATCAAAGAAACAATGGACCTAGAAACTAAAAACGTAAGAATCAAGCTAACTAGATTTGGGCGGCCTAGCAATTGGACTGTCCGAAGAGCGAAACCCCACCGTCACGGCATCGTATACGCATTGGAAAAATGGTACCTCTGCCTTTTGCATCCGCACACACCTCACAGATGACCGATACTGAACTATTCATCGGGATATGCTCTATAACGCTTTCGTGTTCTGTATACGAACGTGGGTTCATGTAGCTTCCATATCTGGTTCTCATAATCCATGCGCCCTAACCCCAACATCCCTTGTCCTGTGGATAAACACTCCGACATTGCAGTTTGACTATAGAATGGCAATAACATGCTAGAATCCCGTCGAATCTAGTGGAAGTATTTGCTCATGCAGAAATCGTTTGGTCGAGCCTGTATGTAATTATCCCCTCTCCCTCCTTGACCGCTTCATCATTGTGATGAAGAAGAAGCAATCTTTGTCTTCAAGATTTGTAGAAATATCTACCTTGTCGGTAATCGGAATTCTGTGGCAATTTCTCGGTGATCATCTTGATGGTTTCCGACGGATGAGAGAAATGGCGATCTGTTGAGGAGGGATTCCGATTTTTTGACTTAGAAAGGATCGGAAATTCTTGAACCCCAGAGACAAATGCACGTTGACGTTGTCGAGGTCGATTTCATGCTTCCCATCAAAGAAGATCACCGGGAAAGAAGCAATTGTGAAATTCTCCATCATATTTACTGGATTCCCGGTGAAATTTCATCAATCTGCCGACGGAACTCCAGGGGCGAGGAGGAGTTTGGACAAATAGGAAGATACGAGAGTAGTTTTTAAATTGGAGAAAGGCACGAGGTTTCCTCTTTCAAAACTGAAAACTGCATGAAGAAAGTGATGCTGGGGAGAGGCTCGTCCTAGCTGTCTACCTTCCAATCAGAGGGATTTCTCCAGTGAGGTTGTTATGCCTCAAATCGAAGCTCACCCGTCACTAGCAATCTCCCAAGTGATGCCGGGATCTCACCGGAAAAATGGTTGAGCCGACTAGAACTAGAAACGAAGAGATCGCCGCCGCATTGAGAGAACTCATGGTGGTGCCATGCATTGCAGCTGGAGGAGTAAAATAGGTATTTTGAAAAAAATTATCATCGGTTTAATATTTTTCGTCTTGGTCGTTGACGGAAGGAAGGTTTTTGTCAATTTTTTTGAAAATAGAAAGAAGGTTTATGCTAAAATTAAACTATAAGGGAAGGTTTTATGATTGTCAGAAATTTTTATATTTTACCCATTTAAATATTTAATTGGCATTCCTACTTTATATAATTTTATATTTAGCCGGTTATCATATTGTGGTTGACGCTTGAGTAGTTGTAGCGAGATCAGAGCGTGCAATGGGAACATTTTCCGTACGTTGTCATTGAGAGATGCTCCCAATGCACGGCTGGAATGGATGGGCGGTTTGGTTGTTGCATAAGAACGGACGTGGTTCAGTCAATGCCCGAGCAAAACAACAACAACGAAAAAACAAGTTCAGTGTCAATGATACTTCAGGGAAAAAGATAAGATGCTGCATATAAAGTGAACAGTTAATCAGTTACCCGGCGGCGGGCGACCTTTCATCTATGCTTCCTTTATATTTCATTGCTACCATTGAAGTCGAACAGATTTATTATTCTGGTTGCTTTTCGGCTTTTCCTTTTTACAAGAGAAAAATTATGATCCGAACGACAAGAACGGACGTGGTGGTATCCCCAATTGTGCAGTCAATGCTTGACAAGTTGAGCTCCCCTGAGCTCCGGGATTTCGGATCGTCATGGGAAGTCGGATTTGAGCTGGCAGAGCTCCGCAAAACACTTCAAACGATCCAAGCAATGCTGGGTTTCATGGAGGAGCTACAAGTAAGAGATGAGCTAGTGAAGGTTTTGTTGAGAGATCTTAGGGGTGTGGCCTACTATGTTGATGACGCCCTGGACGAGTTCATCTATGAAGTTCTCAAAGAGAGGGATGAGAGGAGTCAGGGAAGGAAAAAGAAGCCGGTGCGCTCGCTTTTCTTATCTTTTCTAAATACCCATAACGCATGTTCACCTGATGTTGCAAGTTTCATAACTAAAATTGATGAGAAATTAGCTGATATTGAAAAGAAGCTCCAACCCCATTACTTGGGAGGATCTTCTACAGTGAAGCACTCTGGAATGCTAAATAGTCAAAATAGACAAGGAGCTATTCACTTTAGAGACATCAGGCAGATGAGTAGCTCATTAGTTGGTGAGTCGTACATTTTTGGTAGGAAAGAAGAGGCTTATTATGTGAAGAACGTATTGTTGTCTAATCAATATGATGGAAGGGAGGTTCCTGTGGTTTCAATTGTTGGAATGGGGGGTTTGGGCAAGACAAAACTTGCCCAGCTTATATACAATGACCCAGAAATTAAAGAACATTTCAATATGAGATGGTGGATCTGTGTGTCTGTGGATTTTACTGTTGACAGGTTAACTAGAGCAATATTAGAGTTGGAAACAAGGAAAACTGGTGATCTCAAGGAACTAGAGTCGTTACAACTTGAACTTCAGGATAGGGTGAGGGAACAGAGGTTTCTACTTGTGCTAGATGATGTCTGGAGTGAAAACCGTGACATCTGGGATGCCCTACGGCTTCCTTTTTGTGCTGCAGATAAAGGAAGTAGAATTATAGTAACTAGTCGGAGTCAAAGAGTTTCATCCATCATGGGTTCCGTGAAAACTCTTTCTTTGGGAGGTTTATCAAATGAAGATTGCTGGACATTGTTTAAAAACAAGGCATTTATTGATGAGAATTCTGATGCACATCCATTCTTGGAAGCAATTGGTAAGAAAATTGTACATAAGTGCAATGGTGTGCCTTTGCTAATAAGTACACTTGGAGAGCTTTTATATGGGGAACTAGATGAGAAAAAGTGGGAATACATCCTCAAAGGCCAGGTGCTAGATCTAGAGGAAAACAAAATTTTTTCGACTTTAAGTTCGAGTTACCATCATCTGCCAGCACATTTGAAGATCTGTTTCCAATATTGCTCTTTGTTTCCCAAGGATTATGAATTTGAAAAAGAAATCCTAGTCTTACTTTGGATGGCAGAAGGTTTTCTTCCATCTAATGAAATTGAGAAAATGGAAGATATTGGTATCCAGTACTTTGATGATTTGTTGCACAGGTCTTTCTTTCAGAAAATATATACATTGATTGATCAAACATCTGAGGAAAGATTCGTGATGCATGAACTCATGCATGATGTATCACAGTCAGTTTCTAGGGAGATTTGTTTTAGTCCTGCTTTTGTCAAACCATGTGATAAATTGAACTCTGAGAATGCACGTCACATGTCATTGATTAATGATGATCTTGATTCAGTTAATAAAGAATTGTATGATTGTAAGGGGACATCCACATTTCTATTACCAGACTATGATTTTAACATCTTTTTCTTTGGAGAGGTCACTCATGAGTTCTTTGAAGGGTTCAGATGCTTGCGTGTGTTGGATCTAAAAGGATACGAACCCATGCGGCTGCCAGATTCCATTGGAAATCTGAAGCATTTACGATACCTTAACCTTAGTTATTCTGGTATTAGAGAGTTACCTGAATCCACATGTAACCTTTTCAATTTGCAGACATTGGTATTGAAGAATTGTCTCTTCTTTTCTAGGTTGCCTACAAATATTGAAAGCCTAATCCACCTCCGGCACATAATGATGGAAGGTACTGCTATTCGCTCCACACCAGTGGGAATTGGGAGATTACGTTTTCTCCAAACATTTCCTCCTATTTTTTTGAGTCAAGATGATGGTTTTAGGATAAGAGACTTGAAAGAGTTTCAGTACCTCAAGGGTGAACTTCATATTTACAACCTAGAGAATGTAGCTAGTGGTATGGAGGCCATGGAAGCTGATTTGAAGCACAAACAAAACATTGATCACTTATTATTAAAATGGAGTGACAGAACTCAAAATCTTCGAGATGAGGATGACATTAGAGCTGTCCTTGAAGGCCTACAACCACACACAACTATTAAGAGTCTCAAGATCATCGGCTACAAAAGTTTGGTATTTCCAAACTGGATGATGATGGAATTATCAGTTTATAATAAATTGGTCTCATTGACACTCTCCAATTGTAAAAAATGCAAGTTTCTCCCACCTCTTGGGCAACTACCAGCACTAGAGTCTCTGGAGATTGATGGACTGGTGGAAGTTAAATGTGTCAGTCATGAGTTTTATGGGGATAAAAACATGGATGGTAGTAAAAAGGGGTTTCAAAAGTTGAAGTTCTTAACATTCAAGGAGATGGATGGATTGGAGGAATGGTATGGATCTGAGGAAGGTGAATTCCCTTGCCTCAAAGAGCTTGTAATTAAATGTTGCCGCAAACTGAGTAAACTGCCCCCACTCTTGCCCACTGTGAAAGAATTAGAGATATACTCATGTGATGCTTTGACCTCTCTTCCAAGACTTCAATCAGTTTTCAAGCTAAGATTAGGAAATTGTGATGAGACGATATTAAGTTGGATGCATCACTGCACATCCTTATCCTCCTTGGATATTTCTAATTTTCGAAATCCAACATCCCTGCCCCCAGCAATGCTACGACCCTTGGCAGCATCACTTCAAAATTTGCAGATCAATGATTTTCCAAGGCTTAGGTTGCTGACAGAGGATGTAGGATTACAAGACCTTGCTTCTCTCCAGTATTTAGAAATCAGTGGATGCGATAATCTTATGTCCTTGCCCAAAGGTTTTCACAAACTAAGCTCTCTTGAATACTTGACCATTGGTGATTGTGATCAATTTACATCATTTTCAGAAGAAGAAAATGATGATGGAAGAGGAGGAGGGATGACCTATCCCCCCATGCTTAAACGTTTGCAGATATATAGCTGTAACAATCTCAAGTACTTGCCCAGAGGACTTCACAACTTGACCTCTTTGATGGAATTAACTATTGATAGATGTGATAGAATAATGTTGTTTCTGGATCAAGAGGGGAGCCTTCCCCCGATGCTTAAACGTCTTTCTCTTGGGGGATTTGATCAATTGAAGACCCTACCTAGGGGTTTACATAACCTAAACTCTCTCCAAGAACTACAAATCAGCGATTGTAACAGTATTACATCCTTGCTGGATGAGGGGCTACCTAGCAGTCTTTGCTCTTTAACCATCTGGAGGTGTCCTGAAAAACTTAAAAGCCGTTTGAACAGGGAAGGAGAAGACTGGCCAAAAATAGCACATATCCAGAATGTATCATTCTATGGGTAGTTGTAGTTCTAAATTGGCACCATGATCAAGAGCCAAACAAGGATGCTGTGAGTGCAAGTGACTGGTACAATTCTGACATCCTCTGTAATTCAACCACCTTTTTTTTAAATCCTTGTGATAATCATAAGATCCTAGGATTTATGCCTAGCCAGTTTTGAACTTATATCCTTTTTTATTTATTGGTATCTAGTAAAGCAGAACATAAGAACTGCCAGCACACCCTCTGTGCTGGCAAGGAAAACCAGTCTGAAGAACCTAAAGTTCTGTTGTTAAACTTGGAAAAATCACCTCTTTAACACCTTATCTCTACAGAGACTGTGCGTCTGTAATGCATTTATGCAAGTTTTTCTGTTCCAGTCAAGGGGTTTAATTGATGGGGTCAAATCTGCATTCAATTCAATTACTAAGGCTCGGTTTGGGAAGAGTACAAATACAAATATGTACAGTACAAATACATAAAAATAATACAAAATACAAGGTTCTGCACTCTACATACTTGTATGTTTACTCCTTCCAAACCGAGCTTAAATGGATGCAGGTTTTAACATCCAAATCCGAATAATCAGATTGGATGCTGGGTCGGGTGTCGGATTTTCAAGTCCAGACTATAACCCCTATTATAGGTGCTAAGCCTAGCCCATCCTGGCCCATGATCATCACCCCTACTAGGAGTTCACATCTGTGCCCCACAACGTCCCATAGCACATCCCCGCCGTGTATTGGGAACATCTCCCGATGATAGTACCAGAAATGATGATGTCATCATTGGGAGATGTTCCCAATACATGGCGGGGATGTGCTGTGGGACGTTTTGGGGCGCCCCCTTGTGGGGCACAGATGTGAACTCCCCTACTATCCAGAGAGGTGGAGAGAGAAACTTTGTACCTGGTGCAGCTATGCCAAAATAGTGCAAATGTCGCAGCACTTCATGTTTTTGCTATGTAATTTATGCATTCTTCTTACTTTCTTGTAAAGTTCAAGCAAGATTCAAAGTATCGATATGTATCAATGCATATTGTACAGTATTGGTTTTTGAACCCAACAATACGCTAAATACTATGGGTTAGGACATCTGGCCACTTTTGAAGAATAATACCCTTCCTAGAGGTGTCCTGGCCCAAACCTTGAAACTTAAATATTTTTTTAAACCAAATGTATCACCCCTTTGAATTTCCCAATACACAATCTTTGTATATTTCATGTATCAATATTTTGAACCTTGAATTCAAAGTGTAGTTCCCATCTTTTGGAAACTAGATGTTTGTACTTGTCAGTTTTGATATTAAGAAAGATATTTTGATCTGGTTGTGGAACAAATGAAAAGGTTCTCTCTTTCAATCAAAGACAGAAACTTGGTTATTTTATTGAATAAAGTATAAAAGGATTGTGTGAATATATGAGAGGGAAACCCCCACACTGGTGATCTTTACATGTATATCTTATGTATTTTTCACAAAATGCTGAGTTGTAGATTGATTTATCTCAGCCTCATTGCAAATCATGAAATCTCACATTCTTAAATCCTGCCAAAATGGATATCTAGTGATAAAATGCAAATTGAGTTCAATATACCAACTTCATCATATTAACCTTTCTGCTCATTGATCACTTTATTATTGTTTTAGGAATGGAATTTGGACTCCATTATTACAGTGGAAGGCCTGGCCTTGACCCTACAATTTGTTGGAAGCCAAAGGAAGCACTGGAGCTTATAGAATGGTGAATCAGAAAGTACCACTACCTTGTGGTGGTTCATGATTACAAACTGACACTTGTGCTTAAACGTTTACCATCACAGGTTTCTTGATGTCAGAAAAACCATACTTCCTGAGGATCACATTCAGGCATGATGTTTCTACTTGATATGTTGCTTTTGTTCTTGAGTTCTTCATGTTGGTCTTATCCAAGAATGTGTAGTCAGCATTTGCATCTTTTGTGAATGCAATTTGTGGATCCAATGGACTAGTATATGTTCTCCATGGTATTGTTAAGAAATTTAAAGATTTATAGATAAATTTTGGTTTTATTTATCATTAAATGGTCCATGGAATTAATTAGAACTAACAATCCAAAAGAATCCAAAGGCGAATACTATAAAAGCATTAAATATTTTCAGAGAGGGAGATCAAGAGAGATTAGAAACAGTGGTATAGAAATTGTACCAACTTTTCACTGTCATCATGTAATGGGGTGTTTGACAACATGGTTTTGTTTTTGAAAACAAATAAAAAAAACTGCTGCATTATAAGTTTGCTGATTGAGGCAGTTGTTTTTGTTTTCAAAAACAAAGCCAACCATGTTGTTGAACACCCCCCAAGCCTTGTCCCAGTGATATGGGTTAGCTACATGGATCCTATTCTGACATCCTGTTTTGTTCAGTGCCATATCCATTCTTAAAAGAGCCTTTAAATCATTATCACTGCTTCAGCCCATGTCCTTTCCGGTCTTCCCCTAGCTCTTGTAGTCCCTTCACCAGGTCCTATCCTCTCTACTTTTCCTATTCATCCATCTCAACATTCACATCATGGCCACACTCATTTTTTGAATTGGGATCTGCTCCTCACAGAACGCACCTCACAGTGACATCCCACCCTGTATTGGGAACATCTCCCCATGAATAATAAATACAAGTACGGGAGATGCTCCCAATATGTGGCCAGGACAGGTTATGAGGTCAGTGTGAGGCGTGCTCTGTGAGAAGCAGATCCGCACTCCATTTTTTCAACATTTTGCTTCCACTGTGCTGACTTTTGAGGTTTATATAAAAAAACATTGTGGGAACAGAAACGCTGACAGAACTTTGGTGTCTAATTACAACTTATATTATGATTATTTCTTGTCAATTCTTGTTTGATTAGGGTTAGCAATTTGCATTATTTTTTGTTATAAAAAAACTCATTTTCTGAATGCATTGACCAATTTTTTCCTATCTTTTGTCTAGTGAGATATAAACATGTATGGTCTGTGCTCATTGGTTACCACTTGTCTAGACCTATGAAAGGATCTTGATTTCAAATGAGCAATCTACCTCTATTCTATTGATTTTCTTTGTATAAATCTTTCTGGTTACCACTTGTCTAGACCAATGAAAGGATCTTGATTTCAAATGAGCAATTTACCTCTATTCTATTGATTTTCTTTGTATAAATCTTTCTGATTAGGAACACGAGTTATTACTGACCCAAATCCAGTGTGGACATTACCTAAAATTCAGGTTCTGATGAGAGTCCATATGATGGCATGCAAGAAACAAGAAGTTTGATCATGTACTTTCACATGTGCAGAGAAGTGATGCTTCAGGTTCTATTATTGTCAATTGACTCAATTTGTAAGTTTTTAATTTTCCCTGGCCCTTTTTTTGCAGGCTCTTTTATTTAAGTGATTTTGCATAAAAACCCAGTAGGTACTAGATACTCCTGCAAGACAATGGAACGATCTTGATTTCAGAAAATGGTGCACCTCTATTCTGTTTTATCTCATTGTCTCCAACTGATATGGTGCAGAGCCAAACATGTAATGATGTATGCTTGGTTATATCTAATTTCTAGTTTATGCTATTAATTTGCTTTGTGATATCACTTTTTTTATTGTATGTATTTTATGGATTATGGTTCCATGCAGTTGCAATCATTTGGTGCTCTTGGGCTTTTAGAAATCTCTAAGCAAGAATTGCAAGAACCTACAGGTTTTCCTACTTTCCCTTCTCCTTTCCTTTCCTTTTGTTTCAAACCAAACACAGCCTAAGGTCATTGTGACTTCGAGATACCTATTTTTCGCCATCATTTTTTCTCCCCACCTTGATTGTCTTACTAAAATGTAATTTGTTTTATTCATATAGGTTGGATGAGTTAATACTTGTCAAGTAATACAAGAAGAACACAGAAGCCTAATTGAGGCTAACCGTGCAATTTGCCGATGTCTTTCTGCCATCAAAGGCCATTCCCAGTCAGATTGTGAGAGGGAAAATGGTTACTTGAGATTTTTCTTTTCTATATTTTCAACCCTCTAGCGGAATGAAAATTTTTCATCAACTATAGATTCTCTACTCGGGTTGAGGAACTTGAACCTTATTCTATTTATTTGAATTACATAGCCTTATTTATACTTGATTTGGTGAAGTATAATAAAAGGGAATGGAGTGTAACCTAAATTCGTCTGGACTCAGTTTGGGAAAAGTAAAAACTATATTAACAAAGATACAGAGGGTCTATACAAGCAGGAGGGCTGTCCCAAACAACTATATCACTTTCTAAACTTTTCATTAAAGAAGCGCCTAAAGACTCTAAACCTTGTATTCGTACTGTATATATTTGTATTTGCATTCTTTCCAAACAGTCCTAATGCATTGTAGCCAAGGTTTGGTATTTTGGTATGGCAAAGTGTGTTGACAAATGACAATGTTGGGACTTGGAAATAGATGTGTATTGAGATATGCTTTGGATATGCATGGATATAGTGGGAAGATATCTAGGTACACATTAAAATATTAATAAAACACCCATAAATCTCATAGATGCATTAATAACACTAAATTTGAAGTTGAAAACTATGATTACAAGAAAAATGTACTTTAATAGTTTGTATGGCATCAACATACCAAGACATGGGATATAATACAATAACCTCAGTGGATACTTACCTCTGTTATGGTGAAGGCATAAATGTTAAATTTTATTACAAAATGTTAAGTTTATCTTTACCCTTTATTTGCACATGTGCATATCCCGTTCCCTGGCCACTCATAATATAGAAACCAAAGGTCCAATATGTACGCTGTATATCAATTTACAAATTATTACATATGCTGTTATTTTTTTTTTAATTAAATAATAATTAATAATCATATAAATATACAATTAATCTAAAAAATAGTAGATACATGAAAATGTAGAAGATCCTTAAATCGAATATCCAAGACAATCATGTAAAATTATTATATGTTAATTATTAAATCAATTATCCTATGTAATTCTTAATAACCCAGCTAATTGCTCATGTTAAGCTAAACGGTAAAGAATTTTGTTTGGGCAAATGAAGCTGAAGTGCATTTGTTCTATAAACACACCATCAATTGTTTCCACTTTTCTCTACAACGTCTTATCAATACCACATAAAATTGTATGGCGAAGTTGATCTCAATCCAACTCAACTTTGACTTCAATTATTGGACTAAAATTTCAATTACTATCCTGTCAAATTTTGTTTGAACAGCAGGTTAAACTCCATATCAATGGCATTGATATGATTATAACCCTCACATGCACCATCATCATGAACAAGACAAATTTCGGGCTTCTACTCGATCTTCAATTCTTGGGTAAGGCCAAGAGCCGGGTTTTATCTAGGCTAGTGTTCTGATGATGGTTGAAATCGTCAAGGATGTCATATGGCTATCTTTGCGGCCGCCTCTCTCTTAGGCCACGTCGATGCCATGTGTTACGGAAGAGTACAACTAAAAAGGAGTGCCTCATACAAATAAGGAAGTGAACTTTGTTGGGGAAGAGAAAACCTCTCGAAGACCTCAGCGGACACTCTCATCTCGACAACCCTGGAGGCCCTATCCATTTAGGACACAGATGCCCAACTATAAATAGGTACTCACTGCTTGAGGTAAGGGACTTTTGGGAACTGCATTGTTTGGGAATTGCACTTTTGGGAACGCCCAACTATAAATAGGACACGGACGCCCAATTATCTCAACTTGCTCATCCCGACCACATCCTTCTCTACCCTACCGACTTGAGCATCGGAATACCTACCCAAGGAACAACTCCTCAGGCCCCTGCCCTTTCTCCTAGTTGCAGATCCCGGTGTGCGGCTTCATCCTTTCACCTCAGCCTCATCCAGTTGGAATGACTACCTGATCGTGTCCTTGGTTCAGAATATCTCAGATCGGACAACATCAGATTGGCATTGTCTGTGGGAAATGTCATTTCCCAAACCCTTCATCGTGCACTAAAAACAACCATGCCTAAGAACACATTCAACCGCTCTAGAACATGTTCCCCATCTCGAGGATCCCGCTCACTCCGCAACTTCCCACCTCGAGAGACCCAACATCAGGCAACGGTCGACCTCGCACAGTTCCAAGCCATGCAGTAGAAGGTTGACCATATCCTAGCCATGATGGAGACGTTGGGGAAACTGGAACATGCCCCTTAAGCTACTCGCCCTGCCATGCAGGTGCTTACTATAGTCAATCCTCACACCGAGGACCCCTAAAGGCGCCACACAAACAGACATAGGGCCCAATCTAACCACGAACAACTGCAGTTCAAGAAGTACGATGGAGCCTTGGACCCCATCAATCACATTGAGGGGTTCAAGGCGAAAATGATGTTGCATGACTCCTTCGAGGGTCTCATGTACAAAGCCTTCATCGCCACCCTCCACAAAGTTGCCAGAACCTAGTACGCCTCCCTTCTGTCGTGATTCATATCCTCCTAGGAGCAGTTGGAGACACAGTTCATACAACAGCTCACCACCAGGCAAAGGCATTGGAAGATGTCGGCCAACCTCATGCAAGTACGAGGCCCTTCAGGTCTGAACTCTAGACTAGTTGGTAGTTGTGACAGTCATCATGAGTGGGCTGCTCCTCACTGTTAAACTTCTTGCTACAAAAGAACCCTCTACCCAACCTGACTGCGCTCATGAAGCATGTGTAGAAGTACATGAACGCTGAGGAAGCCTAAGCACTACAAAGGAGTGAAGAGAACCAACATGATCGGAAGTAGAAGGACCATGATGAGCGCATATTGGATAGAGACAGCAAGAGACAAGACCACCGACTTAACCGCAAACCAAGGATCCCGCCATCAATGTATTCAAACTTTACTCCTTTGAACGTGCCACTGGCCAAAATGTTGATGCAAATCCATGACCGCAGCTTCGTCAGGTGGCCCGAAAAAATGAAGTCCCAGAACAACAAAAGGAATCGAGACAAGTACTGTGATGTCCATCAAGACCACAACCACGAAACTGAGAGCTGTCATGACCTACACCACCACTTGAAGGACCTCGTCTGGTGTGGGTACCTTGGCAGGTTGATGGACATCAAGGAGCACAAGCCAAGGGGAGAAGAGCGCCGCACTAATGCACCACAAACCCGAGCTCCCCCAGTCAGAGTCATTGCTGCCATCTCAGGCAGAATGGCCTCTAGAGGAGAGAGCAACTCGGCCTACAAGGTCTATGCCAGACTACATCAGGTCGAAGATAAGGAACCAACGAGACAAAGGCAAGATGCTCCCATCACATTCACTGACGACGATCTCAGGGGGGTTTAGACACCGCATGACGATGCCCTTGTGATAACTGCCAAGATCACTAACTTTGAGATCTGACGCATATTGATGGACACAGGAAGCTCAACTGGCATCCTCTTTGAAGAAGCCTTTGAATTGCTCGACATTGGGAAGGACCGTCTGACGCCAGTTAACACCCCCTGGTGGGATTCTCCGGAGACTCACTGATACCCCAGGGGAAAATCACTTTACCACTGCTAATAGGCAACGACCTCATCACCACCATAGTGATGGTAGACTTCATCGTCGTTCGCGTCTTGTTCCCCTACAATGCCATCCTCAGCCAACCTACGTTGAACGTTCTACGAGCCTCAATCTCCACGTACCATCTGATCGTGAAGTTCCCAACCCCATACAAAGTGGGTGTAACCCATGGAAACCAGAGAACTGCGACGCAATATTACTTGACAACTTGCAAAGTGAGACCATACGCCATTGAAACGCTCACCACAAAAAGCATGGACCTTGTCTAGGTGCACCTGTCCAGCAATAACCCCGAGAAGATGGTCCAAGTAGGATATCTCCTAGAAGGTTGCCTCTGAGATGACATTGTGCAACTCCTTAGAGACAACGTCGATGTGTTTGCCTAATCAGTAGTAGACATGCTGGGGATTGACCCCAAGGTCATCACCCACTTGAATACCGACCCGCACTATTGACTCGTGAGGTAGAAGAAGAGGAGCTTTGCCTCAGAATAGTGGCAAGTGGTCAGCGAAGAAGTGCAAAAACTGCTCAATGTTGGATTCATCCGAGAAGTGACATACTTGGATTGGTTGGCGAATGTGGTGATGGTCAAAAAGGCCAATGAAAAGTGGATGATCTGCATAGACTTCACTGACCTGAGCAGAGCCTTTCGAAGGACAGTTTCCCCTTGTTAAGGAACTTGAGCCAAAAGGAGCTAGGGGTGCAACTTGGGTGGGCCCAACTTGAGCCCGATTTGGCTCAATAAAAGTTTTTTCATAGGTTGGGTTTGGGTTTTTTGAAATTTAAATAGGGTTTTGGCCAAAAATCTCAAGCCTAACCTAAACCTAGTTTGGATCTGGATTGAGGTATCAAGTAGCCCAACCCAACCAATCTCGATTTGAGCCTACCCAACATTTTATGATATACATATTATCAATATATTCCACCTAAAAATTGGGCTACAAAGCTAAACACACCCATTCCCAAGCCCAACTCAAGATGTTGGGTTAATCTCATGTTGGACCTAGGTTGGTAAGAGAAAAATTACCGGTACTTTTCAATAATTACTGGTAACTTACTAATAAATAACAAAAATGGAATAACAATAATTATGGATAATTTACTAACCAAGGCCCAAATTTACCAAACCAAGCTTAAATTTGAATTTTCCAACTTAGGCCCAACTCGAGCTTAACCCAACATCTTGGGTTGGGCTTGGGATTAGGCATGTTGAGTTGTGTAGCCTAATTTCCAAGCAAAATATGTTGATAATATGTAGATATGTATATCATAAAATGTTAGGCAAGCTCAAATTGGGTCAGGTCAAGCTTAGGCTACCCATGCCCAACATGAGTTTAAATTAGATATGAATTTTCTGGCGTAGTCCATCTCCAAGTTTGAAAACTTAAGTCCAACTTGTGCAAAAGCTTTGGTTAATCTAGGTTAGACTTAAGTCGGGCCCACCCAAGATACACCGTTACCTCCCTTTGCCTCAAATTCTTTTGACAAAGCCCATGCAAATGACAAGTCCCTGCTAGTTTACTAATAATTTTGTGTTGATTTCTACTATTTCAAGGACACGGTAATTTTGATATTTTGTGGAATTTACTGATAATATAATTTTGTGCTATATTTTTTACAATTTTTTGGATATTTCTATTACTCATGATAACTTTTGCTA